GGAGAAGTTTTTTACTTTGAGGGTTGTAAGGCACTGGAACAGGTTGCCCAGAGAAGTTGTTGAGGCCCCATGCCTGGAGGTGTTCAAGGCCAGGATGGACGTGACCTTGGGCAACCTGGTCTAGTTGGAGGTGTCCCTGCCCATGGCAGGGGGGTGGGACTTGATGGTCTTCAAGGTCCTTTCCAACCTAAACCATTCTATGATTCCATGATTCCGGAGTGTCCTGTGGGTGCCAGGACAGGTCAGACTGCCGCGGACAGTCTCAAAGCACGGGAACTCAGCGCCGTTGCAGTGTTTTCTGAGTCGGAGCTTCGCTAATGAATAAGATGTGGTAATTTTTTCCCATTTTGCAATGGCACAGGAAAAATGCAGTGGCACTGAAGAGGAGAGACAAGCAGCCCGTTCACGGCTCACTCTTGCTGCTCCCTCCTCACTGTCTCACCTACCAAGAATCCCATTGGCATCAGTGGTTTTGATTCACTTGAACGTCCATGGGTCCTCCCTTGCTCTCCCTGTGGGCTGTAACTGTCCCATTTCTCTTACCTCACCTTTACCCCCACACTCTTCGCTCCTTTCTCTGCCAGAACCCCCTTCCCCACGCCTGTGACCGGGGCTGCTCCTGGCCAGCGTGCCCTGTGCCACCCTCCTGTGCTCACCGAAGGCGGCTGTAGCCCTCTCTGATCAACCCGGCTGTGCCAGGGCCCGTTCCGGTGTCAGCATGACTAAGCTGGAAAGATGCATGTAAAGCACATAAAATAAAATCCATCCCAAATTAACTTACCAGTTTTACATAGGAACGCTCTTGGAGCTCATACAACAACTTTTATATAGAGAAGTGCTGCATCTGGGGAGGAATAACCCCCTGCACCAGTACAGGTTGGGGGCTGACCTGCTGGAGAGCAGCTCTGTGGAAAGGGACCTGGGAGTCCTGGGGGACAACAGGATGCCCACGAGCCAGCAATGTGCCCTGGTGGCCAAGAAGGCCAATGGCATCCTGGGGGGCATCAAGCAGAGTGTGGCCAGCAGGCCGAGGGAGGTCATCCTCCCCCTCTGCTCTGCCCTGGGGAGGCCACATCTGGAGCGCTGTGTCCATTTCGGGGCTCCCCGGGTCAAGAAGGACAGGGAACTGCTGGAGAGGGTCCAGCAAAGGGCTACGGAGATGCTGAGGGGAGTGGAGCATCTCTCTGCTGAGGAAAGGCTGAGGGACGTGGGGCTGTTCAGTCTGGAGGAGAGAAGACTGAGGGGGATCTTCTCAACGCTGATCAATCCTTCAAGGGAGGTGTCGGGGGATGGGGACAGTCTGTTTCCAGTGGTGCCCAGTGACGGGGCAAGAGGGAACGGGCACAAAGGTGACCATGGGCAGTTCCATCTCCACCTGAGGAGGGCCTTCTCTGCTGTGAGGGCGGCAGAGCAGTGGCAGGGGTTGCCCAGAGAGGGGGGGGAGGCTCCCCCTCTGGAGCCATCCCAAACCCGCCCGGACGCCGTCCTGTGCCACTGCTGGAGGTGCCCCTGCTCCTACACGTTATATGGAACAGGAGAAATACATGGAGAAATCCAGGTGGGCAGGCATCGGTGCCCCTGTTCGCACCACAACAGGAGCCCAAATCCCAAATCCTCGTCTCAAACACACACAGCCCTGAGGTTGCCCTGAGGTCCCCCCGCACCGGGCACGTGACGCAGACCTGCGCTTAGATTCATGCCCCGTGACGCCAGCAGGTTCCGGCCGGAGCTGCGGATGAACGAGGCGGCAGACGCCCTTTGCAGTGATGCTCATTCCTTTATTGGTGTCATCGCCAGTTTTCTGGAGGGCACTGGCGCTTTCTGGTCGTTCCCAGCACTGGGTCAAAGCTACATTACAGCATATTGAAGAGGTGTCCATCCAAAGCCAGAGGGAGTGGGAGATTAATGACCTCTCTCCATACAGTATGTATAATATATATATATTTATATTATGTCCTGTATATTCATATGTATAGAGTGACAAGGATGGGCCACCGTACAGTAAACTTTTGATTTTTAAATAAATCACCAGAGCAACAGGCACGAAAATTTGGTCCTAATCAAGGCCCTCACCTTGTCAATCAATCCGAAACAGACCCAAACCCACCCCCTCGCCAAAAGAAAACCCAATATGTCCAAACCTGAAACCCAAAGTAACGAAACGAACAATTAAAAACCCAAAAAAAAAAAAAAAAAAAAAAAAAAAAAAGCCCCGTCCCCCCCTCTGGGGTTCGCCCCCTGTACAGTCACTCACATCGACGGTAAATAGATCCCTCGGCTACACGCGCGCGCCCACACACACCTACACACACCCAGAGGTAAATACACACGCACCAACATACAAAGACCAAAGAACATTACAAATATACATCTGAGGTTGCTGCAGCGATGCGGAGAGGCTGCGGAGCCACCCGAGGCAGAGGCAACGCGCCGCCGCGAGCGTGCCCGCTCTCGGCTCAAATCACCGGCGTCTGCTTACAGCCTTCCTCGGGTTTGTGCTAAGGAGGTCGGGAGGTCGTCGGCAGCGGTGGGGAGAGACGGAGCGAGGGCACGGGAGATTGCCGGACCCCCGCGCACGACAGATGCCATACAAACGGCACTTTGACGTTGAAAGCGGCTCAGCCCGTCCCTGTCCCCGAGTGTTCGCACGTCCGTCCTGGGCTCTGCTGGAAGGGCTTCCACGTGGATCCCACCGTGACCACAGTCCTACTGGACCTGGCCCCGGCCTTTGCCATGACACAGATGGGGACCAACGCATGCCATGGGTGACCAGTGTGGAGCACATCCACCCTTTGACGTGGTGCTCCATGGCCGGGGGCAAACCGGGGGAAGGAGACACCATCAGCTCTTGAGCTTTGTCTCCCGTGTCCTGGGTAAAGAATGGAGGAAAGAGAGAGTCTGTCACCAGGTCACCACTTCGGGCGTCCACAAGCTGCTGATCTGGCTGAAGATGAACTTGGGGCGATTAGAAAACAAGGAAGGGATGAAAATATATTCCTGCTGGCCACCCTGCAGAGGGCTGCTCCCCTTTCTGGGGTCTGCGCTTCCTGACCCTGACTCCCAGACGTTATCCTGGAAACGAAATAAAGAACCGGGTCTCTCATCCACCAGGATTCATGGGGCCGCGGCCAGCTTGCTCTGGGGAAAGCGTATGGACGCACGAACAACCAACCCCCCGGCTGCCGGCGGTACCTGCGGGCAGAAGGAGCTCACCCCATGCCGTGGAAGGGACCCATCTCTCGCTCCTGAAGCGCCCTTCCTCCTGCACCTCCTCCCCAGGCTGAGCACGGCCCAGACCTGGCTGCTGCTCGAAGGGGGTGAGCTCGGTCCTGGGAGCAACCTACAGCTTCCAAAATCGCCCACAAGCCAGCTGCTGGAGTGGGGGAGAAGGGGACCGAGATTTCGGAGAGGCAGAAGGTGTTATGGGGCACAGGTAGGGAAGGGAAGATGGTGGCAACAATGAAGAACATGACAGAGGACAATGTTAGAGGGGATGGGGAGAAGACCGCCCTGCGGCAGAGCAGGGGATGTGTCAGGAGACGGGTGGGGAGGTCTGTGGATGCCCCAGCCCACCCACGTGGAGCATTCTGATGGGACGCTCCTGTTGGGTGGGACTCGCACTGCTCCGAAGCGGACACAGCTGACGTTTCTGCTCCTGATGTTTCTGCTCTGTGCCTCGTGCCCTCTCCCTCCCTCACCCAGGGTCTCGCGTGCAGGAGTCATCAGGGCGAGCGGTGACCAGTCCTCCAGCGGAAGAAACTCTCTTCATTGCCACAAGACAGAGTCCCGACCTGCAGTCTTCCCAGGTCTGCCTTCCCAGGGACTGCCCTCAGCACACGTCCCTTTGGAGACCCGTATCCTCCCATGGGAACCAGGGGTCGCTCCCTCATTCATTGGCATCTTGTCAAACAAAGGGATCTCCTCCACCTCTGCACATCTGGAAGCCATCCCAGGGAAACCACAGCTGCCGGCCGGGCACTGCCAGGGATGGTCCCCCGGAAGGACCCACCTTCCCTCAATCGAATTGCTGAAAGCTGAATCTCTCAGGAACACGGAGCGATGTCCTGGCACCTTCGCGTGCTGCTGCCTGGGACAGGTTTCAGACCGCCAGAGTGGCCCGATGGCTTGTCCCCTCTCACCCATTACCCGTTTCACACCCATCCCTCCACGACCCACGCAATCACCAGTGAAGTTCTCCCAACTACGAGGTGAACTCCCCGTGGTATTACCCAGCCCAGAGGAGAGCGATGTTGACATCGCTCCTCCGGGCATCACCATCTTGTCCTGCATTTCGTCACTGCCGTGAGTTGCCAGGACAGCGGACACTCTCTCCTCTGGTTTCCCTTAGGTAGCATTGCTCCCCGGTGTGCCTTTGGGAGGGGTGGGCAGAAGAGGACGCAGATTTCCACCTCCTGTTCTTGCTGTAAGGAGTTAAACACCCACTTAGCCAGGGATGGGAGCGAGCTGGGTGTCAGGCAACCGAGCAGGACAGGGCCACCATCTCCAGAGCATGGTACAGGGGAACAAAGTCCCGGTGCCACCGGGACTGACTTGGTTTGGTTAATGTGCAAGCCCTCTGTGCGGATGGAGCTGGCGTTCCTGGAGTGACAGCCGTGCCCGGAAGTCAACGAGATGTCACTGCTGCCACCAGTGTTGATGCAGGCTGGAGAGTCCCTCCGGGCCTCCAAGAAGCCCGGTGCAAGGTGCTGCCACCACGAAGTCTCCAAATCCTCGTAGAAATAGCCAAATTCCCTGGGATCCAGCAAAGCAACCGCAGCACCAGAGTCCGGGGCTGCC